CCCGCCGTGCATGAAACAGGTGCTCACACATGCATTCCACGCTCTCACACACTGCTCACACACAATCCACACACCACACAGGTGTCTGTTTATGTCAGGGATCAAAACTCAGAAACACAGCTCCAGCAGGAGTCGGTGTTGCCTTTTATAAGTGACATATGTCATTTGGAGAAACTGGGTCACCTATGGTTAGTGACTAATAATAAAATTAAAAAGGTTATCTCCATCACACAAATATCTATGAGTGGGAGAGAATGTGACAATGGAATACGATTTGCTCAACTTATGCAAAAAGACAGAGCTGGGTTTCTGGGAGGGAGGTCTGACCTCAGGTCACTTGTTCCAGGCCAGGCTGCATGTATCTCGGGGCCCTATGGGGGAGGGGTACAGGCCCTCGGGGGACAGTCGCTGGACTCTGTCCTCTTGAGCTTTGCCATTGCCCGGACCTCCGGTAGGGAATCGTCCTGGGGAGGGGACTGTGCCCTGAACACCATGCAGTCCCTGAAGGCATAGGTTTCTTAGGGTCCTGGGCCTTGGACCTCTTGGCCAACCCCTCCCGGCCCTTTTGAACTGGGTGAAGGCAGGCCTGGGGAGGGGAGGGAACGGGGAGAAGGGGGAGGGGAAAATTGCTCAGAGACTCTGGGAGGGCTCAGCTGCTGCAGACGACCCGGGGGCAAAATTGGTTTTGACGTTTTCAAACAATTGCAATTTCTAGGAAAGAATGATTTTCTGTCTCCTCTGGGTATCTCACAGGCACCTCACGGCTAACGTGTTCCACTTGCGCTCCGACCATCCCCAGCTGCTCCTCCCATGGTCCTCCGCATCCCAGTTAATGACCCTTCATCCTCCCAGGTGCTCGGGCCCCAGGCCTGAGGATGCCGATCTTCAGCCCTTCTCCTGCCTCCACTGCTGCCCCACCTAGGCCTGGGTCCTGCTCATCCCTCCACCCCGCTGGTGTCCCCGCCCTGGCCCTCCACCTCCCTCCCATTCTGAGGAGCCTGTTAAGTCCTCAGATGCCTTGGCCCCTGCCTAGCACCCTCCTGTGGCCCGTCTCACTCAGGGATAAGGCCAGAGTCCTCCCAGCATCCCCAACCCCCAACCTCTGCTCTCAGCTCCCAGGACCCCCTCCCCTTGCTCTCTCTGCCCCTCTCATTTGACCTCTTGCCTGTGCCTCCCACAGGCTGGGCGCTTTTCCATACAGGGCTTTGCACCTGCTGTTCCCTCTGACTGGAATATTCCCTGCTCGCCGGGTGAGCCCTCCCAGAGCACCCGTCTAACCCATTGACTCCTCTCATGCTTTTTTTCTCGGCCCTGATCCCTGCTGAA